ATTCACTTAAATAGTAACAAAAGCATGTATAATAATAGTACACTTGAAATGCAAAGTGAAAGGAATGCATGGAAACTTACTTGGCATTGAGACTGGCAAAGACGATGGCGGTGAAGCTTCTGCGCATAACTGGTGGTCACTAGTTCTGAAGACAACGAAAATGACGGCCACACCAGTTTTGTTTTATGTTTTTGTTTATCTCTTTTTGCTGATGCTTTCTCTGGAGATGACAAAGATGATTATGATGAAGGCGTGTTGTGCTAGTGGAGTTATCGCCCCTGCCTTCATGTTTTCCTTGCTTTCAGCTGTTACATTCCCTATGGTTTTCTCTACCCTGCCTCTCTTTCATTTCTTCTTCCTCTCTTTCTCTTCTCTGTTTTGTTTTCCTTTTTCTTTCTTTCTTCCTTTGGAATTTTTTTTATTTATAATCAAATAATGCTAATTAGGGAACTAAAATATTCTTATGATTCTATGCTGATTCTAGTGATTTCTTTCCAACATTAACACATCATTTTAGCCATCTATGTTAGGGATAAGATCCCAGCCATTAGATGATGGTGAGGTTCCTCTCTTCATGTCATTTTGCAGCTATTAACATGAAGTGTCTAACTGTCTCCCTTAGACTAAAGCAGGAACTGTGATCTGTAGCTCACAAAATCGAGCAAGAACAAGATGGAAACTAAGCTCGCAGTTGTGCAGGGAAAAGGAAAGAATTGCAGACGGGGAGGGGTATTGTTCATAACATAACTGAACAATACCATGCTATAAAGTCTTATTTCCTTATCCAGCGTGATGGAATTCTTGTCATTTTTTGAAGATCCAATCCCTTTTTTTTTTCATTCCTCCAACGAAACCAATTCATTTTCTAAAGTTTGAAATTTATCTTTAATTAATCTGATAAATCCTTAAAAATATTAAATTGAGTCCCTCGAATTAAGACCTGAAAAAATCAGGCTAGAATCCTTCTTGTGGTAGGATTCTTTGTTTTCACACTAGATATTCAAAAGGGAGTATCTTGAGCTTCTGATATCAAAATCAAGGGATTTAAAAACTCATTTCATCTATTCGTACATGTCTATAACTTTCATGAAGGAGTCAATATGAGATAAATTTGTTTTGAAGAATAAAAGTTAGCTTAAATCTGGTTGGTCAAAAGGATCTCCTAATTTGAATCAAGAAACTAACAATGCTAAGCATCCTAATCTGACTGAGTCTGTCATAAGAACAGTGAGCCCTAAAGGTGCAGCTTAATTCTTTAACATGTCATGAGTGACAAAATATACCTAGGATGGTTAGATATTGCACGAAACCAAGTCAGAATCAAATCCTAATTTGGAATAAAAAATTACGACAACAATATAATCAATTTTTTTATAGTTTAAATTCTGGGAGATTTATCCAACCTTAAAGACCAGATAAAAAAAGAATGAATTTAGCATTACGAAGATTTCTAATCAGTCTAAGAAACTTGATGATTTTGGTAGCAATGAGGGAGTATAAAACAGCTCAAACAGGGTTAGAAAAATATTTATTTCTTCTCTGTTTTTGTCAATCATTCAGCAAACATGAGCTAAACTCCTGCACTCGATCCAATAGGGGTACACATCATCTATAGCATGTGGGGCCCAAAAATGAGTAACGGGGATATACACTGGTTTCTTTTATTAATGGTATCATACTAATAACATTTGAATAAAATGACTCTATTCTGCTCGTTATAATATTGCAATTCAGTGACCTCTTCTAACTTCATAAAATAGTCAATTTTAAACATTTTAGAAGTCGATCCTTCAACACAGACCTAATTTTATATGTCTTTCTACCCTGATCATATTCTTTAATATGAAATACATGTCTATTGAGAAAATACCCATTATAGCTCTTCAACTTTTTTTCAAGACTTAGACTTAGTAAATTCAAAGTAACATTAGCATTCCCTCTCAATTGGTAAACATAGTATATGAATTTGTATCTCCATCACAATAAACAAGAAATCTATCATGAAATTAAGTATCCCGAGAGATTAGAATAATTAAAGAACCCTTACATGTGTTCCGGACCTTGTTAAAAATTATTCATCTTATAAGTGAAAGATTTGAGATTCAATAAGTTGTGAGTTTTGGGACAATAAAAATTGACAATATTGCTTATGAGAAATTCAATAATCTATCAACTTATGATAGTATAAGAGATAAAGTATTCAAAATTAATAACATATGGAGTATTGTACTTACTAAATAAAAGGTCTCAGTTCATTGCAGTTATATAACACATAATTATATGCTTGCTTAAATTCTATTTTAGTCAAATATCTTCGCCTCACAATATTGTTTGGCACGAGTCATCTAGTATAGGAGAATATTGATATGTTCCCACACGAAAGCACTTACCCATTATTGTCATGCTTTGGAACGCGATTGAGTTTTGTTCTTAAATGAGCCTCAAAATTATACAAGATAAATATTAAGATCTCTTCAATAATATAAGCCTTGCATATTGAAGCCTTAACATGCACCTTGTTTTTTACTTTTCTCTCAAGGTTAAACAATTAACTGCATGAAATTAAATGAATGTTTTGAATTTTTCAAAAAAGACAATTGAATTTTAGTTATGATGCATGTGTAATCTCTAATCTCTCAAATAGATACATTCATCTATATTGGACTAGGCCTTCAAATTTTGCTTCAAATGGTAGATGCATGGGTAAATGCTTCATTGTATCAAAGAACAATGAAGGGGATATCCTCTCAAGTTTGCAGATTTTTTGGATGATATTCATTTCAAACATCTCTATGTGTTGTGTCTATAACTTGTTGAAGCATATATCTCTAAAAAAATAACAGATATCGATGAGTGCACCTTATATCTCTTTCAATAATAAATTCTGGAAAGTTAGTAGAATGGGTGCTTGCATAAGCATGTGGCAGTCATGACTCTTTATTCCATACAATCTGCAATCCTCCAAATTTACCAACCTTTATATGGTCAAAACATGTCTATAAGGAAAACACTGACTTTTATTCCATTGGTAGATAAGTTAACTATGTATTCTTGTTGAAAGCGAAGTTGGCTTTAGGTTTTGCACCCAATATCTTATCATAAACCAACTTTATATTTTTAAGGTGAAAAAACAAAGATATATTCATTCTAGCATTGATGTTGTCCTTTGTCTTTCCTTTAACATCTATAACCATGTTGAAAATATTTTTAAATACATTCTTTTCAATGTGCATGACATCAAGATTATGATGAAGAAGATTGGTCTTATATCTATGATTGGACATTGACTGACATAACTTTGATTCATTCTCATTGCATCCATAACCATAGTCTTATAAGGATTACAATTGTTATCTACAATTTTATGCATGTTGCTAAAACTAGAAGTTGACCAAACCGTCCTTTCTACCATGTTCTTCTAAGGAACATATGGTTTTTCGTGTGCAAACCAACACATGTATCTCATTATAAACTTTTTTTTTTTTTTATAGAAGATGCATCATTACAGTATCTAAATCAAGAAACTTTTTTTTTCTTACACCTCTTATATAGACATTTAATACTGCATCCACTAATATTTCTCAGGTTAGATAATGCATAATTAATAAAACCATGAATCTCATTACAATAATCTACACAACCCTTCGAGTGAATCTCAATACATTTATGAACAATCATCCATTACATGTCAAACTTATATAAAATATTGATGACAACATGTATTAATTAATTACACAAACTAAATAAATAATAGAATATTATAAACTTATTCAAATTATTTTAATAGTACAATTAATTCATTATCAATTATCTACATAAATTCAAAATTGTATACATTTACTGAAAATTTCAACTCAATAATAAAATTGACAAAATATAAAACGAACTCGTTAAAAAAATCTATTATTTATTTCATCACAAAATACCTAAGTCAAAAATTCAAAATAAATTTAATCAATCTACAAACAAATACAATTTTAAATAGTCTTAAACAAACCCTAATATGACAAATTATACATTCATACAATAAATTTCTATGAGAAAAGGCTATAAAATTAACAAGTAAACACCCAAACAAAATACATATACTAGAAAAATATGCAATAAAAATTATCTTTTTAAAATTAATTTCAAATAAAAACTAGATAGTTTTATTTACTTGAAGTGAAAAATCTTCAATAAAATTTGAATCAGAATATAGATGTTGACAAACTATGTGTTGGGGCGGTTTAATTTGTAGTGGAAAGTGGATTTGTGATAAAATTGGGATGGGGGCTTGTGTAGTTTGTTAAGAAGAAAAAAAAAAAAAAGAAGAAAAAAAAAAAGATGGAAAGAGAAGGGTTGCCTATTAGGTCATAGATTAAATATTATAAATGGATTTAATTAACGTATTTAAATCTATCGATATTTTGTCTATAAAAATAATATCTCATCATATTTTTTGAATTTTTTTATTTTTTATCTTTTTATTATAATTCCTTAAGTATAAATGAAGATAATATTTGTATTGGTGTCTATAAATAGATACTACGAGAACATATTCAATCAGAAAAATTTAATGCAATCTACCGGTACCAATGCAAAATAAGATTACTATTCAGTTCTACACGACAGTTAAAACAAGATCAGATGACTATATAATTATAGACCTAAAGCCAGCTATGCTGCGATATAAATCCATTGAATTAACTACCCAGGACCGGTAACATTTTGTCACCTAGAAGTCTTTAGTTCTCGACAAGAGACATTTTGACCGGAGTTCTATGATAAAGCCTTGTGACACGAGACATGCACACCCACTCCTGGTAACTTAATGGAAAAGTATCATGTTGGAAAGAGTATTATAAAGAGAATACTGGCATATGGCGGATAATGTCAAATGTTTCGAGGACTTGGTTTCATCACTGACATCACAGAACGAGCGACTACTGAGTCTTCGTCGGCTTCATTTAGGACTAATTCAATGACTCCACTCTATAAATAGCCTTGCATCCTCGCTAGATATCTCACCCCTCTCCACAAGATAGATCGGTATAGAATCTGATGGAAGGACTCAAGGTTCTACTAGTTTTTGTCGTCCTGGCTTTGGCTTCTTCATTTGCCTCTGCCTCTGATCCTAGTCCTCTTCAGGACTTCTGTGTTGCCATGAAAGAAACCGATGGTGGTATGTGGTTTTTAAGTTTTCGTCGGGAGTTTTTGCCAGGAGTTACATGATAATATTACACTGAAAATAGCATGCATCCAGTATATATTTTAATATCTCCATTCTCTATTAATTGACTGACTTTTTAAGGGCATGCATCAAATGCCTTTCTCATGCAGTGTTTGTGAACGGAAAATTCTGCAAGGACCCAGAGCAAGTTACTGAAAAGGATTTCTTCTTTTCTGGACTCAACGTTCCTCGGGACACTTCCGGTCCAGTTGGTTCAAATGTCACTGCTGTCAATGTTGCTCAAATTCCAGGACTCAACACTCTTAGCATATCCTTGGTTCGCATTGATTATGCACCACATGGTGGCCTGAACCCACCCCACACTCACCCTCGTGCCACTGAGATCCTAGTAGTCGTGGAGGGTACCCTCTATGTCGGTTTTGTTACATCGAACTTACCTAACGGAGATAATCGCCTAATCACCAAGGTCTTAAATCCTGGAGATGTTTTTGTGTTCCCAGTCGGACTCGTTCATTTCCAGCTCAATGTGGGAAAAACCAATGCCGTTGCATTCGCCAGTTTAAGCAGCCAGAACCCTGGAGTGATTACAATTGCAAATGCAGTGTTCGGAGCAGATCCACCCATTAATCCTAATGTTCTAACCAAGGCCTTCCAAGTGGACAAGAAGTTAGTCGACTATCTTCAGAAACAATTCTGGACGGACAACAACAATTAGAAGAACACATTTATTACGAAGACATATATGAAGCTGTAGCCACATGTTTGGCATGTTTTCTTCATTACTACGTACCTCTTTCATATTTATTTTCATAAATAAATAGGTTTCTGCTCGTGTCTTTTATGCTCGGTTTGTTAATGATATAAAAAGCATAACAATATGACACCAAAGAATTGCAGGCATCATCCTCTTTCTAAATACCAACCAGACGTTGTACCTTTACATTGCCGAAGCTTGTTAAAGTCAACCTTTATGAATTGTTTGGAATTGCTCCAGTTTTTATGGTTATAGTTTGAAAAAAAAATTATTTTATAAAAAATATTGTTAATTGAGGATAATTTAGTATTTATATATATTTGGTTAAAACTATAATTAAAATTAAAGTTAAATAAAAAAATTTAATGTGTTTGGTTAAATATGTTGTTCAAGAAATGAACAATATGCAAATGAATTAATTCACATGGCATAGACGCAGTAGGGGGAGAAGCAGCTCTCAGTTGCTTTGTGCATACCGGTGGTTTCAACATAAAATATACGAGTCCCACATAAATACTGAGTTGAGTTTTAATATTACCAAACATGATGTTTATGTGGTTTGTTTTAAAAGCTAACGCTACCACGTAAACGAACACACTCTATATTATTGTTTATGTGACGCTAATAATGGCTCAGCTTTATTTTAATGAAAAAACAAATGTGCTTCTTATATATTTTCTAGTAGAAAAAATTAAAATACATGGAAATTAACATGAATGAAGTGAATTCGTTGATTTAATGAGTGCAAAGATAATTGGAATGACTAGAAAACAAATAACAAAAATAAACATTTGCAAAATCAAGAATCAACAAAATGGTGGGAGAATAAAATTGAAAAAAAAATAATTTAAAAAAACATCAAGAGATAAAATTGAAAAAAAAAAGCATCGAAGAACAAAAAAACCAAAAATAAGAAAAGAACATAGGGAGCAGACCTGAATTGTCATGCATGCCCAAGCCTTAATAAAGAAAAATCTAGCCAAGTGGGTCTACTAGCTTATGTTTGCTTGTACATGCCTTCATTATTTTATTTTATTGTTTTAATGTTAGATAATATGTCATTCACCCTATCTTTTTTAATTAAAAAAATTAGTACGTAACTTGTCAACCGCTACAACAAACAACTCATTACTAGTTATACCTAGATTCTTGTGACAATAGGATTGCCAAAAAAATTAGGACAAGGGTGTTTTACATTAAAAAATTACATTTTCAATCAGTTTTAAATTTAAAAATCAAAACAACATTGTATAGATCTAAATAAATTCATTTATACTTTCAAATAACCCAAAACAAATCTAGAAATAAAAAAATCAATCGACACCTAAAAAACTTTCCAAGGTCGCATCATCTCTTTTAAGTAACTTGAAGGTCAAAGAACACCCTATTAGAACTTATTTAATCAAATGAAACCCTTTAACACTAAGTTCAACTATTTTAATGGTCGGAATTAGTGTTAAGTAATATTTTCTCTCTATTATAAGAATTTATTATCAACTAACTTTATAATTATCAACCAGTTGACAAAAAATTGAGTTATTATAATGTAAATTTAACTATCAAGTTGAAAAGACAATGCATAAAATTGTACCAATATTTGTTTTAAATTTCATAAAAATAACCCTAGATTTTAACCCTTTAGGGTTGAGTCTATTACTTGTGTATTCTCTCCTACTTTTTCTTTTTAATTGCTATGTTATTTGCTTGATTATTTTTGTAAATATTTTCATTTATTGGTATTTATTTTTAGCAATGTTCATTTTATTCATATTATTTAATTGTTATGTTCATATACATGTTATGATTCACACACTTCACGGAAAAGGAATGCAAGCTCTAGACTCGAGCTCAACCCATTTAAGATTAGATAAGGATATCAATGATGAGTGTGATTGAAGTCCACTGATTCTTATTTGGACTCCTGCTCAAATTAGAACTCACCTTATATATCAGGTATTGTGAATTTTCTCATACTTATGGTGCGTAAGGTTAAGAGGTTAGGGTTACCCCACTAGTAATTTGGATAATTTGGGAGCCTAAAAAATCTTTAAGCCTAGACAAGTTGAGCTTGAAAATCTCATAAACTAGCTCCTATCTTTTAAGATAGACCCTTCATAGGATGTGAACAATAACATCTCATGACATACATCTTCATCTTATACTATGATTTTATTAGATCTCCACCAATGCTTATAGAAAGTGTGAGATGGTGGATACATTACTATTGAGGATACAAGGATTAGTTTGAAAAAGAAAACACAATGAGGTGATAAATATTTTTCCAAATCGAGTTATATAGGTCTCAAGTCATGCAAAAAGTTTCAGAGAAAAATTGATCTAATCCTTCATCATATTTGTTTTTGCACATTCAATCATGTATTTACATCCATATGAACACCATATTTATTTTTCTTGCATGGTGATAGTAAAACAAAACAACACTAGGTTGAAATATAAGGCCCCCCATCAAAACTACAATACTTGCCTTTAAAAAACAATGATGAAAAATAAGAAAAATGTCCATTTAAAAGCTTACTAACCTATAAGGGAGATAGAAAGCATGTACACAATATCATTAGGATCACTAGCCTACAAGGAAAGGGCTTGGTTTAAACCTTAATACCAAATAAAGGTAAAAAGCATAAAGGGTAATATAACAAAGATCTAACCTACGAATAAAGAACCTAGTTAGAAGCTCAATTCTAAAGAGAGATAGAAAGTATGAAAGGATGACATCGTAAAGATCACTAGCCTACAAAAGCAAGCTTTAAGGATTAGGTTAGGGGAGGGACACGTAACTTAGCCCACAGTTGCTGCTTAATCTAAAACCCTATAAAACAAGAGTGCATCAAAACCCTAATTAATTGCTTGATTTTTGTTCATCTACTCGAAATCTTCTATGAGGATACTGACACGACTAAAAGGTTGATGTCTTCTCCCAAGTGTAGGTATCTAATAATATAAGATACTTATAATTTGTGGTAAATGTCTATTTTTAATGCAGGCCTATCACATAAATGAAAGGATTGATTGATGACTTGAAGAACTTAAATTGCAAGGATAAAGAGATGGCTAAACTTAGAAAAGAGATGTCGGTTTTGTTACATCGAACTTACCTAACGGAGATAATCGCCTAATCACCAAGGTCTTAAATCCTGGAGATGTTTTTGTGTTCCCAGTCGGACTCGTTCATTTCCAGCTCAATGTGGGAAAAACCAATGCCGTTGCATTCGCCAGTTTAAGCAGCCAGAACCCTGGTGTGATTACAATTGCAAATGCCGTGTTTGGAGCAGATCCACCCATTAATCCTAATGTTCTAACCAAGGCCTTCCAAGTGGACAAGAAGTTAGTCGACTATCTTCAGAAACAATTCTGGACGGACAACAACAATTAGAAGAACACATTTATTAAGAAGACATGAAGCTGTAGCCTCATGTTTGGCATGTTTTCTTCATTACCACGTACCTCTTTCATATTTATTTTCATAAATAATTAGGTTTCAACAGATTTGGATAAGGTCTTTGAGACTTTTTTTTTTTGCACTTTTTTTTTCTTGTTTTGAGAACTACATTCCACTTTTAATAAAGCATCTTTTCATATATTTTATTGATGCTTTAGAATCTTAAGATGTCACTAAGATTATGTCTCACACTTTTACCATAATCAAAACCCATACTTAGAATTAAAATAAATCAAAAAAATATGTGAATAAAATGCTAAAAGGCATACTAAAAATAAAAATAAGGAAAAGTCAAAGCCAAAAGGATGTTTCATCAAGAAAAATTCTCAAATAAGGACCATGTGACAAGATTGATCTTGAAGTGATCCTAGATTATCTAAACTTTTTAAACACCTATTGATCACATAAAATGTTTTTTTTTTCATAGACCAGAACCATAGCCAATGTTACATGCTTGTAAAAGTTCTTTCTAATAAAAAAGCAAACTACGAAGAATGATATGCAATATAAACAACTATTTGAAATAAATCATGATTTGTGTTAGAATTCTATTCATTATTATCATGATAGGTGGCGGTCCCTAAAATACTTTTTTTCCAAAAATAAATTTGCACTCATCAAAACATGCTAAGGCAAGATACCAACCTTTGACTCCCTTTAAAATACCACTCTTCACTCTACAAGGCATAACTTAATTGTTAATGTGGTTGAGAGACAAGTGTTAAAGAAAAAAATATGGAGAATTGAGAGTTCACACAGCTGGGCTTAAAACTTCTACCTTTGTAATCTCTACCAAGCATCTGTATTTACTAAAAAATGCATCCTTATCCACATTTTGGAAGTGAGCTATTAATTTGTTCACCTCATTTATAGTGCAATTCAGGTTCTTGATTGGCAATAGCTTCTTAGCATCACTTTTTGGGCAGTCTTCTTTAGTCAATTGTGATAGTTCAAAATTTTTCCCATATTTCATTATGAAAAATTTAGTAGTGGTGGCCATTTCGTTCCCAAGTTATGGAATTAAAGATGACTTGGAGTTAGACTTGTTTTGATTGAAAAGATATTATGGAGCATATACCCTAACAATATGTTCTAGTTTTTTTATGTGAAACATAAGGTAGGTTTACTACTTTGTCTCTAAATAGGGTCTTTTGTTGTCCCAGTGATCACCCCTCATAAAAGCAATGTGAGGCTTAAAGGATAGTAAGATGACATATGTCCTAATCATTATTAATCTAAACACTCAGCAAAGAGTTGAGGTTTGCACTTTTGCGAGGCGTGGGAGCGACCCTCCCCAGGACGTGGAATTGATTTTGGGTTTTTTTCTTTTTGTGAATAAGGGGGTCGCTACCTAGTATTATGGTCACTAGGAAACCTAATTGGTCTTTCAAAGATTCTAAGGTAAAGGACTAGTTGCATATGGTCTCTAGGAAACCTATCTGGTCTTTTAGAGATTCTAAGGCAAGGGGTTGGTTGTGTAAAGGAAGGGTGTTACACCTTCAGTATGCCCTACCTAAGGTAAGCTACTTGGTGTTTGGTTCGTCTTGCTATGGTGTTGGTGTTCTTTAATAAGTTTTTATAGGATAGGTTTGGCGTGATGAATGGGCTTGGGTTCAAAGTCTAAAAGCAAGAACTTTTGGTTAATATAGATCATACCTTTAGATATGTCTACAGAGTGCCAAGAGGAACCAATAGCTAAGATAGAAATATAAAGAGATTCAATGTGCTTAAAAGCTCATTTTCCTTTGGTATTTCATGTGGGCTAAAAAATAAGTAACAACAGGGATATATGCTGATTTCTTTTATCAATGGTATTATACCAATAACATTTGAACAAAATGACTCTATTCTGCTCATTATGATATTGTAATTTAGTGAACTCTTATAACTTCCTATAATAGTCAATTTTAAACATATTAGAATTTGATCCCTCAACACAGACCCCATTGTTATATGTCTTTCTATCCTGATCATACTCTTCAATATGAAACACACATCTATTGAGAAATTACCCGTTATAGCACTTCACCTTTCTTTCAGGACCCATGCTTAATAAATTCAAAGTAACATTATCATTCCCTCCCAATTGATAAACCTAGTACATGAATTATATCTCCATCACAATTAACGAGGAATCTATAATGAAATTAAGTATCTCGAGAGATAAGAATAATTAAACAACACTTGTGTTTTAAACCACGTGAAAAATTATTCATCTTGTAATTGAAAGATTTGAGATTCAGCAAGCTGTGAGTTTTGGGACAATAAAAATTGATGATGTTTGACAAGACCAAAAGATTGATATCTTCTTCCAATTAATAAGTGTTGAAGTAATAAATAACCCAACAAGACCGGGGTTGAAACACAGGGAGGTGAACTATATAAAATTATAAACAATAAATGAAACGGAGTTGAAGAGAATTCTTGAGATGTGATATTGATGTAAGGATTAAACAAGGATAAAATAATTTTCAAGGTTAGAGGATTCACTAATGGTATTTCAAACAAGTATAGTATAAACTCCTTCTATTACTTAACTAGAAACCACACATAAATAAGGTTTTAATCAGATTATAAATTGTTAACATGATTACATTAGTCATCTTATTCGAATAATACTAATACTTATAAATGTTATCAGGTATTTATGATTGTAAATTAAATTAACAACAAATCAAGTTCCTTTCAAAGTACAAGTGTCGGTTATACCATACTGTTGGGCTACGAAAGTGCAAGTATTTGTTGGATCAAGGGTTATATAGCATAAACCTAGATTAACCATGTAATAATCAAAGTATTAAAAGTGAACAAAATAACAAATACAAAACATGTTAGTATATAACATTAAAGTCCAAGTTGAGCTTATACTATACTTATTCTTACAACAATAGTGTAACAACCCTAATTTTCTACATCTTTTTTCGTAATACATTGAAAATTTTTAGGTATTTTTTTTTTTTTGATATACAGGTTCTATCAAAATTTCTACCAAAATTTTGGCAAAATCTCCTATGTACTAAAACGTCTCAAGTTAACGACATATATTTGTTTACACTTCTAACGTCTTGCATCTCATAACTCAATCACGACCCAATTGTTTTGGATCTCAATCCCACAACACATCATCATTATCACAACCATAATATTTAGAATATACATTGAACAATAAATATCATTATAGAGGAACAAATGAGATGAACACGTATACATGAAACATGATTATAAGAATTTCAAAGCTAAGTTCATCTATTTGAGTTTAAACATCAAATTTATAAATTAAGTTCTATAAATGTTTTAATATTTCAAAATACAAGGACATACTTCGTAGAACTACTTAACAAAAAGTGAAAAAAAGTTAAGATCTACTCCTATAATACATGCAATGGTCCTGAAACAAAATATATATTATTGAAACATGAATATCACAATAAGTATAGTAATACAAATATCCAACAATTTAGAAAGGCAAACATATATTTATATTCTATTCAGTTCTTCATTTTTGTTTCCATTAGAACTCTTCTTCATTCAACTACTAAAACTGTTTCATTTTTTATTTTTAATTTCCATTCAAGATTCCATAAGATCAACCACAACTATTTCTACCTAACTCATTATTAATACTAATTCCACCAGTATCATCATCACCTCGTAGGCGTCGTTGTTTAGCGATCTCCTTACTTGAGACCCTAACATATACTAGATGTATGCTAGTCGATGCATGGTGATCCCCTTACCTGCGATCCTAACATACACTAAATGTATGCTAGTCCATGCCCCATAGGCGTCAATACATGGCGATTCCCTTACCCAGGATCCTAACATATATTAAATATATGCTAATCCATACCCCCTTACCTGGGATCCTAATATACACTAAATGTATGCTAGTCCGTGCCCCATAGGCATCAATACATGGTGATCCCCTTACTCGAGATCCTAACATACACTAAATGTATGTTAGTCCATACCAATTTGATCCATTAATATTGTCATTCTTTGTTTGGCCATAATTATCGTTATAAATTTTCATTTCAAACATGGCTCATTTCTTTTTAAAGCAACGATATAACATTACATGTTCCCTGAAAGGAAAGAACCTAGATTTTCACCCTTTAATGCTTCTAAATAGTCATTTTAACAGCTTTCTAAATTTGCCAGCAGAGGTCATATTTTGACATCTTCTCAGATTTTTGACTATATTTGGAGTTCTAGGACTCCGTTTCAAGCAAGGTTAGCTTGTTGGAAAGTTAAGACATGGGGCTACAAGTCCCATGAAAGGAGGAGAACCCAGTTCTGCCCCCAAGGCACTCGAAATTATTTGTCAACAAATTAGAC